TTATTTAATACTAGACCCGGTGCACGACATTCCTACACTCATGGGGGTGAGTCCCTCAGCCTGGCCTGAGACCTTTCACAGTCCAGGGCTCTGTTACTCTCTTTTTAAAGTCCCAAACAACACAGCCTCAAATTACATAAAACATATCTAGCAAGAAATGTTTGACTAGGTCTGGATGAGCTGGGCTGATCTGATCTGAGTCTGGCCTTTCAGCAAGCAGCTGGTTTTAGCTACTAGTAACTGCAGGCAGCTATGGTGGAGGATGGTCAGCTATTTCTAGACCTGCCTCAAACCGTCCAGACCACATGCATGGTTCTGAGTCGTGGTTAATGTGCAGCTTTTGCAGCCTGGCTGCCTGAGCTCCGACCTCAACCCATCACTTACAACCAGGCGGCTCCAGCAAGTCTGCATCTGTTCTACATCTCTATCCTGAATGAGCAGCTAGAGCAGACCAACCCTGAAGGCCTTTCACTCATGCCAGCTGGCAAATCCCCTTTTAAAGTTTCAAACAGTTTGAGCTGAATTTTATGTCACTGGCAACCAAACATATCCTAACCAATGTTGGCTATGTATTAGCTTTTATTAAAACATGGTTTATATCATTTGTCAGCGAGAGCTCAGATACTAAACAATTAAGACAGCAACTATTTCCAGATATCTAAGGCCTTCATTCTGACGTCAGAAGGCCCAGGAGGCTGGACTAGCCACAATGATTCTGCCAATCAGAAGGGCGGCACTCAGCTCCTTGGTGGGTAAAAAAGAGGGTCATTCCTCTTTCCCCTGAATGAGCCCCCGCCCCGCCCCCTAAGGTCAAAGTTACCTCACAGCCTCCAAAGCCACCGCGTCTGTCCGGATCTTGGTACACTTCCATCTCCTACACTTTACCTGCTATCAGTGATACCTGCTATCTTAGGAAGCTTTCCTTATACAGATGAGCCCAAAGGAAAGGATAAAGCCGCTGGAATCCCACCCCGAGGAATTCCCGCGAAACGGTTTGGCAGTTTCCCCGCGTTTCTGAGGCACACACGCCCTTAGTTAACGCGGATGACTCCGGGTACAAGTCAGATTTCACGTAACCAGCTCAAATCGTCCTACTGTCACGTTGCCCTATGTGGTCAGTTGGGGGCGCTCCACGCCCTCTCCTGGGATTGCCCAGCACCAGGGACTCCTCCCGCCCTGCCCGGCGCTCAGGACTTTCCCGGGTTCGTGCCCAGGCCCCTCCGCCACGAGAGGCAGTTCCGAGGGGTCTGCGGTCCGCCCCGCACCCCCCACGGCCGAGCAGCGACGGCCTGCGGGTAGGTTCCGTTGGCTACGTCGCGTTTCGGGGTGCGGACCCCGAGGTGCCGCGACGCGCACTCCTGCCCCGACCCCTGAGATCAGGTGGATTCCCGCCCCCCGCCCCCCTGCAACCCCACCCCAGACAGCAAAGCGCGATGGCCCCTGCTAAGCCCAAGGGTTCGGCGATGGTCACGGGGTCGCGGCTGGGCTGCCCGTCCTCGGGCGCCCGCACCCTCCAGCAACTTTTCTGCCCAGCGGTTTCAAGCCCCCAGGCTGGACAGGAATTCCTGGCGTTCTTGTCGATTCGGCGGCCCCAATGGGAGGAGATTCCTAATAAGTCACCGATTGCAGTGCAGGGTCAGTAAATCCCAGCCAGGCAGGGTAGTTCCCCGCCAGGGGGGTGGGGGGGCGCCCGAGTCACCCGGGCAGCTGCTCGAGCTCACCCCGACATCGCTGGGAGTTGGGACCTGGACGCAAGCATTTTTTTCCAAAGCTTTCTTGGGGGCTTTTCAAAAGAGCAGCAGGGCTGAGCCCCTCCGGGAAGCTTGAACTCTAGGTTCTGCTGGAAGGTGTGAAATTCATTCCAAGATTCCAGTTCTGTATTAGAATTATATGCAAAAAGTGCATTGTACTCCCTAATGTGTCTGTGTTCATCCTATATAATAAGGGTAATATGCAAATTGACTCTAATGAGGGAACAACCAGGAACACCTGTGGCTATGACGGGAACTGACCACCAGGGGGCAGACACTCAATGCAGGAGCTGCCCCTGGTGGTCAGTGCGCTCCCACAGAGGGAGCTCAGCTTAACCACAACCCGGCTCATCGATTCGCGCTAAGGATTCGCTAAGGATGTCTGACTGCAGGGAGCAGGCTTGGAACAGGCCTAAGTTGCCAGCCCGACATCCCCCAAGTGCTCCCGGACTGCGAGAGGGTGCAGGCCAGGCTGAGGGACCCCTTCTCCCCCCCTCTCCCCCCAGTGCAATAATTTTACGGTCAGGGGCACGTGCCCGGGTTGTGGGCTCGATCCCCAGTGAGGTTCTTGTAGGAGGCAGCCAATCCATGATTCTCTCTCATCATGGATGTTTCTCTCTCTCTCTCTCTTCCTTCCTCTCTGAAACCAATAAAAATATATATATTAAAAAAAAAATTCTAAGTTTCCAATCAAGCATCAGACATAACATGGAAGTTACTAAAACCCACAAATACACATGGAAGTTACTACCAAGGAAAAAGGGAGGAGGGAGAAGGTCTTGCGAGAATAGGGGGAGGGGTTAGCAGCACATACCTGAGTTCAAGTTGTGCACCAAACGACTGTGGGGCCCTTTTTTGGGGGAAGGGGAGCCTCCATTTCTAAAGTTGATCATGGTGCATAATGGGGTTCTAGAAGTTTCCTTCTCTGCTCTACAACCTAGGTCAGTGGTCGGCAAACTCATTAGTCAACAGAGCCAAATATCAACAGTACAACGATTGAAATTTCTTTTGAGAGCCAAATTTTTTAAACTTAAACTATATAGGTAGGTACATTGTTATTAACTTAATTAGGACACTCCTAAGCTGGCCTTTGCTAAAAATGTCCTCAGTCTGATTGAGGTACATTCGCTGAGGTCGACCCCTTTCAACTATCCCATCCACACTCGTCTTGTGTACTTGTTTCAGATAGACGAGTGTGGATGAGAGAGTTGGAAGGGGTCAACCTCAGCGAACATACCTCAAAACAATACCTCCCCCGTGCTGCGTATCCTGTGGCCCACCTGCACCATGTCTCCCGTCGTGACCGACCGACACCCCCCACTTCTTCTAACGCCACTTCTTCAAAATAGACTCGCCCAGGTCGAAAACCAACTTTTGCGCATGGGCCACGAAGTTTCAATCGCACTGTACGTGCGCGCCCGCACGTGGTATTTTGTGGAAGAGCCACACTCAAGGGGCCAAAGAGCCGCATGTGGCCAAAAGTAGTAACGGATTATACATTTATTAGGTCATCTGGAAAACCAGATGGGCTGAGCCCCCACATGGCACCAGCACCCAGGGAGGGGAATCAGAGATCTTAAAGGACTCTAGGTGGGCTTTTTCTGGGTGGAGAATTCTCTGGGTGGGTCTGGATCCTGGGAAGGTCCGGAGGGATAGGATAATGGTCTTAGCAAGTGAAATGTGGTCTAAGCAAAAGGGAATGTCGTTGGTGAAGTGGTCTAAAGATCAGTTCCTAGGGGAGGGAGTATCGATTCAATTATTTGATCAGACCTAACACAATACACCTGGGAAAGGCCAGGGCTGTCTTTGGAGGCAGCCAGGTCACACTCCTAGGCGGCCAGAGGAAACCAGAGTCAGCTGGGTTGGGCGGGCCAGAAGCTGGTTGAAGGCCACAGTCGGCTGGGGTATTCTGGCTTAGGCTTACGTACCCTTTTATGTAATGATGTTTACTTTGAATTTATATTAGTTCACACAAACACTCCATCCATGCTTTTGTTCCGGCCCTCCGGTCCAGTTTAAGAACCCATTGTGGCCCTCGAGTCAAAAAGTTTGCCCACCCCTGGCCCAGAGGAAAGGGCACACATCCAGCCCCAGCCTCTGAGGAGCACCGTCAGACACCCACCTCATCCCCTTCACGCCCCCCCGCCCCCTCCTTCTGCTAGAACAGTGGTTCTCAACCTTGTGGCCTCACCCCATAACAAAGAAACAGAATTTCTGGAGGATGAGGCCCAGAAATCAGGATTTTAAAAAGATTCCCAGGTGATTCTAATGTGCAGCCAAGGTTGAGAAACACTGCTAGTGCATTCTTTTTTTAAAATATATTTTATTGATTTTTTTACAGAGAGGAAGAGAAAGGGATAGAGAGTTGGAAACATCGATGAGAGAGAAACATCGATCAGCTGCCTTGTGCACACCCCCTACTGGGGATGTGCCCACAACCAAGGTACATGCCCTTGACCGGAATCGAACCTGGGACCTTTCAGTCCGCAGGCCGACGCTCCATCCACTGAGCCAGACCGGTTAGGGCTGCTAGTGCATTCTTCCTCAGGTTGCAGCTGAGCACAAGGCTGCCCCCGGTCAGACCTAACACAACAAACCTGGGAAAGGTCAGAGCTATCTGAGTCAGTGGCCCTTCCACGTGGTCCCCTTCCACGTGGTCCCCTGGCTGTCCTTCCTGCTCTTGCCCTCACTGGATTCCGCTCCAGGAAGAGGCCCCAAAGCCTCACTCTGCTTTCTGCAGCCCTGGCAGGGCCTGGCTTCAGTGGGTGAGTGATGGACAAGCAGGGCGTGTGCAGTCACAGGGCCCGCCTTGGAAGGCTCCCCCCGCCCCCACCTTGGAAGGGGCCCGCCTTGACTTAACTCTCAGCTAGCGGTAGTGATTTTTTTTTATTATTTCAGAGAGGAAGGGAGAAGGAGAGAAACATCATCAATGATGAGAGAGAATCATTGATTGGCTGCCTCCTTCCCAGGGCATGTGCCCTTGACCGGAATCGAACCTGGGACCCTTCAGATCACAGGCCAACACTCTATCCACTGAGCCAAACCAGCTGGGTCTCAGCTGTAGTGATCTTGAAATTCTTAATTTTTTAAAACCAGGGGCGCTGCAAATTACGTTGCCAGATGACCAAGGTGGGGATCTGTGCTGAGGAGGAAGAAATAGTTGCAACAATGTTCCCTTTTCTTCTCCAAGGGCTTAGACCCAGCCCTCCCCCCCCCCCCCCCCCCCCCGCCCCGCCAGGATGACGTCCATTTAGTCTTGTGCCTCCCTCCATGTGTTATGTTAGGATCCAGCCATTTCTATCACTCACCTGGGGGAGAGCCATGAGTGACTCTTGGGGCACCAGGCCCACTCTGCAATGACTGAGCTGGGCACAGGCAGGAAGGGATATGCTGCTTGCCGACTACAGCCCCAGGACCCTTCTCCCTGGGTGGCTGCTCTCCCCACCCTGGAGGTAAGTGGCTGAGGCCACACCATGCGGTTCCCCCAACACCAGACCCCTCTCGGCCCCAACCAGCCCGTTTCAGTGCTTCTGGTCAACCTTATCAAGAAGGGCCAGGAGGGAGCTCACCAGCCCCTGCATGCCCCCACCCAACCCCACTCCCTATAACAACCTCACTATCAGCTCTGGCCTTGCCCTCCGTGGGAATGTGCTGTTAGCTCAAACCTCCTCCACTCTGCACCCCCCCGCCCCCCAACAGTCCAGGGAACATCTTTCTTGACTCCGGCCCTGTGGCCTCTCCTTTCCTCCTGGCACTCACCTCCCTCTGAGGCCCTTCAAGGGGTCCTTGTGTACCCACCAGCCAAGAACAAGGAACAAGCTGTGTCTTCAGAAATCTCTGGCAACTTGGCCCCGACAGGCCCTCTGATGGGAATGGGAACAGGAAGTTTCACGGCAGAAAAAACCCAATCCCCTTTTATTGAGAAAACAGTTAATTCCTCACTCTTTTCCCAGGTGACTTTACCCCGAGATACGAGGTGACATCCTTCTGCACCCACCCCAAGGACCCCTGACCCTGGGCAGGGTGGCCCACAAGGGACATGCCCTGCCTTCACAGGAGCAGATGCTGGTCTCTGTTCGGCCTTGGAGCAGCAGGGTTCTGGCGGGGGCTGTGCCAGGCACCGGGGTGCCCTGGGGGTGGGTCAGGGTGGCCCAGGGAGGAGTTGTCCTGCTGGAATGAGGGAAGGGAGGAACACCGCCATATCCTGAGGCCTGGCGCCTTCTTCCTCCAAATTCTTCATAAATAGAACTTCACAGTGATAGAGGTATGTTCACTTCCAGGGTCAAACCGGCTGGTTTCCACCAGGGAGTCAGACCTCAGTGGGGCCGCAGGAGGGCACGTGGCTGGGGCTGGTTGGGCAGCACCGTGACTTGGGGGGCAGAGCCCTGCGTCAGGGGTGGGGGCTGCTGCCATCCAGAGGTTCTGAGGATTGCTGAGGTAGTCAGAGGGGTAGGTTCTTCCAGGCAGGGGCCGGTCGGGGCATCACAGGACGCAGCCAGGACTGAAGCCACCTGGGAGAAGAGGGGGCTGAACAGCCAACTCCAGGCAGGTCTGGGGGGGAGGGTGTGCCCAGGGGGTTCTGAGGCAAGGAGCACGGAGTGGGTGTGGGGGGACTGTGAGCCTGCACAGGGTTGAGCTTCTCCTGAAAAGGTTGCTTGGGTCCTCAGGGAGACTGAGGCACTTCACAGGAGAAGAACCTTCTGTGAATCAAGAGGGCAGCCACGGAGCCATCCAGGGCCTCGCCTCGCCCAGGTACCTGAGCATGGGGTTCCTTCAGAGGCCACCACGGCCTCCCACCGGGTCAGAGGGAGTGAGGCAATGAACCCAGTTAGGAGGGCTGCCAGCAGCCTCGCTCCCCAGAGGACCTTCTCCAGGCTGGGCCATTCCAAGCGTTCCTGCGCCCCAGCTCCGCTTTCTGGAGAGTGTCCACACAGGGAGGCCCCCGGCTACCTGTGCCCCCCACACCCAGGAGCACACAAGGCCCAGATCCAGACTCTCCACTGCCCTGCAGGGGACCAAGGCTCCATCCGCCCTGGCATTGCAGCTCCAGCTGATGCTGGTGGTCCGGCCGGGGTCAGAGCACCTGGAGCTTGCGGGAGCAGGTGAGGTTGCCGTGCACCAGCCCCCACATGGCCAGCAGCTCAGAGGGCAGCAGCTTGTGCACAACCAGCATGGAGCGGAAAAAGCAGGGCTCCTTGTTCATGCGGCTGTTGCGGTTCCGCGAGATGCCGAACGTCTTGAAGCCCGCATGGGCCATGGGCTGCACACCCAGCACCTCCAGGCACATGCCCAGGAAGACGTCATCGATGGGGTAAAGCTCCACAGTGTCACAGGCGTGGTGCAGGCGCCGGGCCAGGCCTCCGGCCATCAGGAAGCCGCCTCCACCGGCATAGGGAGGGTAGCTGGCCTTGCTGTACAGGGCCCCAGGGATGTAGTACTTGTTGTCTTTCTTGCGGATGGGCCGAGCGTGCTGCAGGACGTCACCCACAAACAGGTCTTCCTCTGGCCGCCAGTCAGCCAGAAATTCCAGCAGGTTGGTGGGGTTGACGAAGACATCATCATCGCCCTTAAAGATGAAGCGGACATTGGGGCAGAAGATGTCAAGCCACTTGAGAAAGTGGATCTCCTTGAGGGTCAGGTTGAAGAAGCTGTCAAGAAAGTCCCACTGGAGGATGTCGCCATAGAGGCGGTCCTCATAGGCCAGCAGCTGCTGGTAGTGGGCACGCTCCTCCTGCTTGGAGGCTGTGCCCAGCAGGAAGAGGGTGCGCCTGGCACCTTGGCCCCTGCCCACCGACGCCTGCTCCAGGCCCCAGGTCTGGCGGATGGCCTCCCGGCGGTCATGTTGCGTGATGACCGACTTGACGACCACCAGCAGGTAGACGTCACCGTTGCACTTTTCCGGGTGGTTCAGCAGCATGGGGAAGTATCGGCAATGGCGATAGAGCAGAAACTGCTGGAAGTGTGGCTCCAGGCCCTGGAACCAGGACTGGTGGGTCAAGTTGATATTGGCTGAGCAGTTAGTGGTGGTCACATCCCAGGTCTGAGGTCCCCGTGAGGCCATGAGCACGGGGGAGACCAAATCCTTCGATCTCTTCCAGAAGTCATTGGGGTTCACCAGATGTCCACTTGGTTTCTGGGCCTTCTGTGGCCCTAGAGTGGGTGGCGGGGGCTCTTGCAGAAACTGGCTGGGGGTCAGACTACGCTGGAATACAGCTATGGCCACGAGCAGGGCTAGGGACAGACACACACTCTTGTAGACAATTCTCTTCCTGGAGGTGGGGGGAGGGGGGAAACAGAGAAAAAGATGAATCCCCATGACCCTCGCAGCAGCCCTGGTGTGTAACTATAGTCCCAGATGGGGCAATGGGTCGTGGGTGTGGGTCGGAGGAGGGTTCTGCTTCCTCTCCCACCCTGACTTCCCTCCTCCAAGACAAGGAGCCGCACAGCAGAGCCTAAGAAGAGCACTGTGGAGTCAGGCTGCCCTGTCACTTACAAGCTAAATGACTTCGATGGGGTTCCCTTAACCTCGCCAAACCATGATTTCTTCTTCCCTGAAATGAGGACAGCGTGGATTGGAGTTCTAGCTAAAGTGCTGGGCAGGGCAGTGTGTGTGCAGTCAGGGATTAGCGGTTCTACAGGGACTCCTCTGGTGGAGACCTTTACCCTGTTCCCTGCCCGCAGCAAGGCACCTCCATCCATCACTTCCAATTTCCTGGGCAGACTCTGTGCACCATTCCGGTGACCCATGGGGAGGAGTAGAGACGGACCTGCTCTCCGCCTGAAAGCTCTATACTATGTGGGGGGCTTGGGGGAGCAGGCTCTAACTTGGGACTGAAGAAGCCTGTCCCTCTTCCCTCCAACCCATGCACCTGACCCAACAAAAATCAGACAGCCCAGGGCATCTAGCATGACCGTCGCCCCCTAAGCCCCTAGTCTGGCCCCCACTTCCCTTAACATCACACTAGGAGAGATGCTATGCTGCCCTGGGAGGGGAGCACATTCGGACCCCCACCTTCCAAGGACCCTGCTTGCCCAGGAACCCTATCCCACCCATTGCAGAAGCAGAAATTAGAGTGTTGCTAGGAAGGCTGGACTCGGCACCCTCTTTCTTCGGCTCACACTCTGGGGGTGGCCAGGCCACCTGCTCTGGTCTCTCCTGTGGAGAGAGGGGTGACACCTTCCCATGTGGTCCCAAGGTTTCCTGTGCATGGAGTGGAAGGAGGACTGGGTCACCTCAGGTACTGGGTTGGGGGGGTGTGACCTAAGACTGACCCTGGGAGGGTGGGGGAGCAGAGTGCTTGGTTCTCCAGCCCAGGGGGCTTCAAGGAAGCCCCTCAAACCCCAGGAGGGTCACCCCAGGGGAGAGGGATGCGGCAAGGCCCCTCCACCACAGGGCGGTTTCACCTGCACCGTCCCACTGGGTTTGTAGGAAAAAGTCCTTGGGGGGGGGGGGGGGGGGAGAGGAGGGAGAGGAAGGGAGAGGCGCGCGGGCCGGAGGAAGGCGAGCCATTGGGGGTGGAGGACGAGGGTCGCCCCAGATGCAGGAGGCCCTCGCGGGTAGGGCTGAGCGCACGGGCTCGAAGTCCCCCGCCGCCGACCGGCGGGTCCAGGCGCCGCGCACCGTCGGGCATCTCCGGCCGCCGCCGCGCGAGCCCGTCTGTCCCGGGGAAACTGCTCCCAGCCCCGGGCACCAGCGCGGCATCTCCCCTGCCCGGAGCCGCCGGGCCACTCTGCCGTCCCTTCCCTCCGGCCCCCGGGAGAGGGGAAGCCCGGCGTTCCCGCCCCCCAGCCCGACGGCCCCCGGTCCCCACTCACCCCAGAGACATGGCGGCCCGGGCCGGGGCGGCGGCGGAGTGAGCGCGGGTCGCTGCGCCGGGCTCGCAGCTCGGGGACGGCAGGCGGGGACAGGGACGGGGCCGCGCCCCCACCCGGACATTTCCCTCCGGGCGGCCGGAGGAGGGGCCGAGAGGGGCGGCGGCCCAGGTGCGTTAACCCCTTCGGCGCCGCCGATCCTCCGTGCCCGCCGCGCGCCCCGCCCGCCACGCTGCGGCCGGGCGAGCATCACCCCCCGTTTCTCGGAGGCGGAACCCGAGGCTGCGGAGCGCGCAGAGTCGCCCAAGGTCACTCGGTCCGACCGTGGGCGGCTGAGTCGGGACTTCGCCCCGGGTATGCGCTTTCCCCCGCGGAGCTTCCCAGGAGTCGCCAACCCGTCTGGATGCGTCGGAACCTGGACGCCATCCATCCATCCCTAACCTCCCGCAGCCGGGGCGCCGGGGTCGGGGGCAAGTCCCTCTGGCTCCATTGGACTTTTCCTTGGCGGGAGGCAGAGGCAGACCAGGGCTCGGGACCTTCTCCGCACCCCCAGGCAGCAGCCCCTCCGAGCCTGCGCCCTCCCTCCGCGGGGAGCTCCCCTGCACCAAGGGACGGCCTGGCCTGTCCGCCCCGCGCAGCCGCCTTCTTTTTTCATCCATCAGCAAACATTTCACTCAAAACCTTTTTGTCCCCAAGCCTTTATCAATCTGTTTGTGGGTGTGCCAGGCCCGCTCCTCCTAGGGGCGGGCTGCACTGGACAGACTTGGAGGGGCCTTCTTGGCTCCGCCGGGCCTGGGACGATGGGTGACCCCATCCAGGGGACTTCCAGAATCCTCTCACAGGTAAAACGCCCTCTGCCCTGCTCTCCCAGATGCCTGTGCTAGTCCTGTTCCATGCTGAGGTCCCATCACGGAGCATATGGTAGGACCTTGAAAAATGCGGGTAGAGCTAAGCGGAAGCATTTCACAGTCCAGTAAATAGCAGCTAACATTCATCATGCAGTTAAAACATGCCAAGCACAATTCCAGGCTGCTGCTCAGCTGACTCACGCAACCCTAGCAGCGTGTACTATTGTTATTCCCACGTTAAGAAGGAGGAAATGGAGGTTCCAGGAGGGGAAGCTCAGTAGGCCGGGTTCCATAATTAATAAGCAAACCCAGGAGGCCGCCTGGCTCCGGAAGCAGGCTCTGGGACCTTGTCTTAGGGGCAGCAATGACAGGGAGCTGCTTTGAAGCTGGGACCCAGGCCCCCGAAGCCCTATGAGCCTTGGCCTTAAGGCTCAAGGGCCCTTTAGAGAGGGTGGAAAAATCCAAAGTGCAATAGAATTTTCATGGATGTTGTGAGCTCCAATCAAGGAATGCGAAGGGGCTTCCAGGAGGAATTCCACAGGAAAACCCTGGGACCAGCACCTTCCCACTCATAATCCCACTGACCACTTGTCCCAGGGGCACCAGGGACTTCACTGCCCGGTTTCTGGGTTCTCCCCATTCACCCTGGAAGTGTGACCTTGAGGTAGGGCTAGGGCCAGGCCTGGCTGGGGACAGCCCACCCTGCCTCAGCACTGACCTTTCACCCAGAAGCTGTGGGGTCTCCTCAGGTCCTGGTGAGGGGCAGACACAGCTATTCTCTGGGAAGGGGTTTTGAGCCCAGGTTTGGGGACCAGAGGGGAGAGCTCTGTACTTTTTGGCTCTCACTAGGGCAGAGATGGCAAACCTATGACACACGTGTCAGAGGTGACACGCGAACTCATTTTTTTGGTTGGTTTTTCTTTGTTAAATGGCATTTAAATATATAAAATAAATATCAAAAATATAAATCTTTGTTTTACTATGGTTGCAAATATCAAAAAACTTCTATATGTGACACGGCACCAGAGTTAAGTTAGGGTTTTTCAAAATGCTGACACGCCAAGCTCAAAAGGTTCGCCATCACTGCACTAGGGGCTGGTGGCCTGTCCCCTTGAGACTCAATTCCCTGTGAGCACCAGTTACATGAGATACGCAGATCAGCGTCTCCTATGTGGTGGCATCGCGGCAGGCTGGCTGCTATTAATATTATTATTGTTAATATTAATAACCCAACCCACAAGGCCAAAGAACCCAACAGGGCTCAGGGAGGTGGTGATGGGGGGAGTTGCCCAAGGTCAACTGGGTGTTTGTCAGTGGAATCCGGTTCATTGAGAGGAACAGTTTGTCATCATGGGTTCATTTCATCTGTGCCTAGCTGGAACTCAGACTGGGGAATGGATGGCAATTAATTACTCAGCCCCTGACAGGGTTGGGGGTGGAGGATGTGCAACAGGGCTAGGCCCAGTCAACTTTCAGTCAGTCTGACCAGCGGCTCCTTTTGGGCAGAGCCCTGGCAGATTCCTGCTGATTGTCTCAAACCACAGCTCCGGTGGTTGAGCAGGGCCAATGGGAAGGGGGAGATCAGTCTGTAGATGGAAACTGTCCCACCCCACAGCCCCACTGTGTCTGTTCTGCTCTGAGTGTTTTGTTCTCTCACTGCAGACAGAGGGGTGCATGTGATACCATGTTTCCCCAGTATATTCAGTCGCACCCTCAAAGGCCCTGTGATCAGAGAGCAAAGGAGTGTCCCTCTCTCAGTTCCTCTTTAAAACTCCCCAGAGCAGAGCCCACCCCTGACCAGAGCGTGCTGTCAGGGTGGGTGGGGGCATAAGGCACTGTGACAGGCCCAGCCTGAGACTAGAGAAGAGAGGTGCTGGGTACAAACCCAGAGTCTAGAGAGAGATGCCCACTTGTGGACCCGTCTCCAGGGTGCCTGCTTCAGCCACCTCATCCAGCTCACTGGAATCCCATGAGGCCCATCATCTTATTAACCTTCTTTACCAAGACCAGGACTCAGCTTCACCACTCACCAGCGGGCTGACCTTTCCCTGGCTGAGTCGGGACTGAAGGCAGATGGAAGCTACAGAACCAGGAGATCTGGGGGTGTGGGGGGTAGGGTGGGGATAGGGGGTGGTCTGGTCTATAGCCAAGGAGGGAGGGTGGGGATGGGAGAAGCTAGTTGGGCAGGAGGCAGAAGTTCCAGAGGGTGGTGGTGGTGGAGTAGGTGTCGCTGGGTCCTCTGATCCCCTCAGGTTGAGATTCTGCTTTTGAAAAGGAAATGCAGGGAGGCCTGATGTTGGAGAAGCCCAAGAAGCTCCTCCTCCCTCTCCTCCCCCTGCCCCCTCCCTCTCCTCCTCCTTCCTCTCTTCTCTACACCTCTTTTGCACTTTACTTTCCCTTCCCAACCCCCCTTCCCTCTCCCTCCTCCCCATCCCTGTTCTCACGTCTCTATATCAGCCACCACCCATTCTCCAGAACCAGTTGGAGCAATCCAGACCCTGCTGGTTTGATGCAATTATAATGAAGTTCACCTGGGACCAAGGACCTGCCTTGCCCTTGGGTGTGGGGAGACATCTGATGGGCCAGAGGTTGCTCTTAGTCATTCCTTAACCAGACAATGTGGGGCTGACTTGGGGGAGAGAGAACCAGAAAGCTGGGTGTGAGGAGCCCTGGCACCTTGGAGAGAGACTGCCATCCACAGAGGCTGGTGCTCAGTGGTGCTGGGCAGTGGCCTCGGTGGAGAGCTGCCCTGAGCAGCAGCCTGCACTCCAGGGCGGCCATGACCAGTGGGTGGGCTACACTTGCACCAGAGGGTCTGTCAACTGGCACCGGAGTGTCAGAAGCCACCTCTCTTTAGTGATAAGCATGTCCTTGAAGATGTGTGCCAGGCAAGAAACACTGTACAGGCCCCTCTGCCCGAGCCTGAGCAATTCAGCAGAGCAGTGCCCTGGGCCCAGGACTCTCCCTAGTTGGTCCAGGACACCCCATTCAATGATCTGATTGGAGGGTTAGCCAGCCTTGGACTATTATATCCTTGAATTCGCCCAGAGAGACGCTTTTGGGACAGAGAGTGGGGTTCCCCAGGGCTCCTGGGCAGCGGTGGGAGGTCTGTTTTGTGCTTCTTGCTAATAGGTGCTATAAGTAGGGGAGCATTGATTTCACTGTAATATACCATGTGGCTAGGAGGTGTGGGGTGCGGCCTAGCATTTCCACCCACCTCTGGTCCTTGGAGGCCACCCATATCCACTGCAGAGAACCTGACCCTTTCTGCAGGGCCCCCTGGGAGGGACTGCCCAGGCACAGTGGAGGGGAGAAGGAAGGAGTAAGGTGGTGGTGGGGGAAGCAGCACACAAAGGAGGAAAAGGGCCAAGGAGGAGCTAGCAGAGAGGTTCGGGGCTGGGGAAGAGCTGGGGGGCAGGGAGGACAGGGTTTTCAAAGCATGGGTGGTCTGGTTTGAAGTCCGGGAGGTGCCCTCCCCCAATGGCAGATTGGGTCAAAGAGAAGCCCCCATCACAAGGGGTGAGAGGCTGGGGGGTAGTTAAAAGAGTCTCCTTTCAGGATTTGCATATGAGCAACACAACTGATACACCCTATTGGCAGAGATCCCAAGTGCTCTTCTGTGGGCAAATCCTGATGGAGCCAAGACTGACCCAGCAACCAAGAAGGTGACATTGCCCTCACCAGTAGGATATTTCAAAATAAAAATTGCAGGGCTGCCTGCGGAGAGTCTGTAGGAACCTGGGAAGTTGTATTTTTCCAGTTTCCCAGATGAGTCTGATGTACAGGCAGGTTTGGGAAAGACTGGCACTGTGCCCTCCAATTCCAGCTCCCTTGGTCAGCCATGGGCAAGGGCCAGCAGAGGGACACTTCCTCCTGTGAGCCTGGGGAGAGGGACAACAGAATGGGGAGGCAGCTCTGGAGGAAATTGGAGGCAGAGAGGGGGAGAGTTGAGGAATTCACTTTTCCTAGTGAAGCAAGTGGCAGTTGAGGAAGCAGAGGGGTCTAGGTGCTTAAAGAGTGGGAAAGGGTGGGACAACGAGACGTGTCAGGGCGTTCCTGTACATCCTGGAGACCCAGGCCTGTGGCTGAGGCAGGGTGTCCTGGTGTCTCTGGGTGTGAGTGACAAAAACCCAACTCAAAGGAGCTCAAGCAAAGGAATTTATTTGCTTGTATGATGGGAAACCCCCGTCCCTTGCTCTCTCTTGTCCTCTCCCCACAACCCGCCTCCCTGTACAGTTCACCTACCTCTTTGTTTAAAACAATTTTTTTTTCAATCCTCACAAGAGGATATTTCTTTTCATTGATCTTAGAGAGAGAAAGGGAGAGAGAGAGAAGCATTGATGTGAGAGAGAAACATCAATTGGTTGCCCTGACCGGGGATCAAACCTGAAACCAGGGTATGTGCCTTGACTGGGAATTGAACCCGCCACCTTTTGGTGCAGGGGACAATGCTCTAACCACTGAGCAACACCAGCCAGTGCAGTTCACCCACCTCCTGCCTCTCTCTTGAACCCACAGGCTTCTTCCATGAGGACTAGGAGAAAGGCAGGCTTGCAGATGGCCTCGGGTGTTTATCACTCTATCTTGAGGACCCCAGAAGAAAGGGGTTTTCCCCCTTCCCAACCTCCATATATAAAATTCCAGGGAAGGACTCTTATTGGTCTTGCTTTAGTCTCATGCCCAGACCTGGACCAATGATCATGTCTAGGGGAGTTGGGGTAGTGTGATTGGCCAGGCCTGAGTCATGTGTCTCCTACTGTGGTTGTGTTATCGGTGAAAGTGTAATTCTTGCCATGCTGTGAGGAAAAGAATTTCCTGAGACTTGCATGGGAGGAAGAGTAATATTTATTCAGTGGAAATAAACTCCTGGGTTTCCAATGTTCCATTTCCCTCCCTCCCGCCATGG